TCCTGTGGCCAGCCCCATTCCACCCAACCCTCCCCCCACTACAACCAGCCCTGCTTCCTGCTGGCCTCCCCCATCTCCCCAGGCCAGCCCCATTGCTGCCCCCCCACTGCCACATGTTTGGGGGGTTTTTGGTCCCCTCCCCCCTTTTTTTTCCCCCTTCAACAAAATTTTTTCCCCAGTGGATTTTTTTTTGGGTGGCAGGGGGGGGAGGGGGGAGAGGGTTCGGTATTTTTCTTTCAGCCATCTGGCATCCCTAGCGCTCCCTCTAAGCCCTCGCGAAGTCTGTAGCCAGCCGTGTTTAGACATAAAATCAATGTCCTGTTTGGTGAACACAAGTGATCTGTTGCATTTGACTAATCTATAGGTGATCTGTGTCGTTTGAAAAGATATCCCCTCAGATGTCTCTCCATTTCAAGGTTCAGTAATACAAGAGTCCTGAATGTTAACGAGAGCTTAGCAGTTAAATATCTGTGCATCACAATTCAAGTTTAACCAGAGAAGTGGAAAAGAGACTCAAGAGTAAGAAGTAAGCATAAAGACATGTCTACAAGATGACTGAAAATTAATTAATTAATAATAAAGGGTTAGCTACCATACCTTGATTTTATTTTAACAGTACTTGAATTCATAAGAATTCCCGAAGTGGAAACAAGAATAATAGCCGTAGTTCTGCATGGATCAGGATCAAGTCTAATACTGTATCTACAAAAAAAGCAAATTGTTCAAAGACAGCACATTATTCCAATTTTTTAACCACTAAAAACCACGCGGAAGTTAAACAATCAAAAGGACAGTCTCGCAACATGTAAACTGCTATTCCCATTGTGGTGGGAGCACTCTCAGTATAAAATCACAGGGGGTTACAATCTGTAAATCCCTTATGAAATAAGTCTCTTCGTCATGTAATTTGATATATATAATAGCTAACCATAAACAACTATACAGAATTGATATGTACAGATACCTATTATTTAAATAAATCAATCTGAGCGCCTTTCGGTGCTACTATAAAATAATATTAATAGAGAATCCTTTGCAATTTTGAGTTAGCAGCTGATTGGGAGAAAAGTACTAAGCAAATTATAGTCCTGTTTTTTTATGCTGGCAGGTGAAAGGTTACCTGAGATTTTTAAACCAATAAATTAAAGACGGTAAACTGAGTAGCACAATCCATGTGAGTAAATTGATGATTGTAATATGTATTTTAAGACTGTTTACAACATTATCAATAGCTTGAGTGGTGGTGGGCGTTGCTGATGATGCTTCTGGACTGATCTCTGCTGAATCACAGTTCTTTACTGTCTTATTTTTGGAATTATATGACGTTTCTTTTGAGTGCTTCTGACCCTGTAAAGAAAAACCCTAAAATATTGGTACAGAGTAAATCAGACTAATAAAGTTAACATAAAGAACCCCCTTAACATAACAGCATCTGATGTAGGAAAATAAACAGATTAGCAATTCACCCAGGGCTAGCCAAGGTTAAAGGACAACCATCTTGGTTGATTACCTTAAAAGAAATAATCAGCTTTTAAAGCTACTAATTCAACCACAGTCTCTCTTTTTCAGAGAAGTGAATTCATGATTACAAAAAGGAACAGTGGTGCTGGAAGTATTTTTAGGGTGAGAGTGCTGAGCTGCACTTCCCCTCACAAAACCTGAGTTTGGTGAAGTGCCTGAGATGTTTGTCCAATGTACATAGCAGACGGACACTTTCGGCACATTATAGCATAGATTATATTTCTGGATGCGCAGGAATGTGTGTTCTTGATCTTATAACTCACTTGGTTAGGTCCAATAATGGTATCAGCAGAGTGAATATGTGGACAAAGCTGGCAACGGGCTTTGTTGCAAGGGACGGTACCAGGGTTGGTATTAGTGTGGCATGTCCAGTGGTTGTTGGTAAGAATCATCTTGAGGTTAGGTGGTTGTCTATAGGAGACTATGGGTCTGTCTCTCAGAGCCTCTCGGAGTTTAGTATCCTGATCCAGTATAGGCTGTAGTTTATTGATAATGTGTTGGGACAGGTTTAAGTTGGGGGCTGTAGGTGATGACAAGTCACCTACAAGTTAGACGAATACCTAGAAACCATCTACTTCAAGACAGACCCAAGAAAACCAACAACAGAACACCACTTGTCGTCACCTACAGCCCCCAACTTAAACCTGTCCAACACATTATCAATAAACTACAGCCTATACTGGAACAGGATACTAAACATATTCCTGCGCATCCAGAAATATAATTTATGCTATCATGTGCCGAAAGTGTCCGTCTGCTACGTACATTGGACACTTCGCCAAAGGATCAATGCCCACAAAACAGATATTAGACAGGATCATAAAGAAAAAACAGTTTCTTGCCATTTCAACCAGAAAGGACTAATGGTATCAGCAGAGTGAATATGTGGACAAAGCTGGCAACGGGGTTTGTTGCAAGGGAAGGTTCCAGGGTTGGTATTAGTGTGGTATGTCCTGTGGTTGTTGGTAAGAATCATCTTGAGGTTAGGTGGTTGTCTATAGGAGACTATGGGTCTGTCTCCCAGAGCCTCTTGGAGTTTAGTGTCCTTTTCATATGTGTTCTTTTTTTTTTTTTAATTGTATCCTTTGGTATATATGGTTGTGACAATTTTCTTCCACTATTTGAACTGAGGAAGTGGGTCTGGCCCACGAAAGCTCATCACCTAATAAACCATCTTGTTAGTCTTTATAGTGCTACATAGTCCTGTTTTTTGTTTCAGCTACACCAGACTAACACGGCTACATTTCTATCACTAAATTTGGAAAGTGATAGATAGCTATTTTGAGCATATATTAATATGCTCAAAAGACCCCTAGAGTCTTTCTGCCTCATTTCTACCCATCCAAATTTAGAATTACATTTCAAGGAGAAAGAGGCAGAAACTACTTTAAATGTCCCCATGCATGAAACTGGTCTAAATATTGAGTTTTCCATTCATTCTTAACTGCTTCCTGGCCATCAGAATTTTACTCCATCTCTTGCTCTTACTTATATCTCAATGGTTAATGCCTGAGGAGAGTATTTACAGGAAGAGCAAAAGTTATTACAAGCCTACACAATTAGATGCAAGGAAGAACATTTTCTCCCTATTATACAGGAAACACAAGAGGAAAATTACACAGGAAAAACACCAAAATAATTAGCTAGACAAAGAATTACTGTTTATTCCTATCCTAAAATTAAAGACTTATTACCATTAACATTAATCTTAGGTTATCACTCCAATGATATCAAGAATGAAAGAATAAAATAGACAAATCAGTGATGAAACAGGCTACTCCGAGGTCTCGGCTTTTCCATCTTCTACTCCCATGAACCAGAGAAATCATTACTTCTATTTTAGTTCTAGACCCCTTTAGTCACCAAACCACCAACTAAATTTATTTTCATTTTAAAACTACCAAGTCTGGGTAAATCACAACTATCAGTGTCGCTTGCCACCGGATCTTTTTGAGATATGAAACACACACCACCGTGTACAAATGATGATTATTTAATATTACAGAAGACAGAAAACAGACTTACCATATTAAGAACATTTTGCTCTATTCTTACATTCAAATGTAGCTTAACAATCTATGAGAAGAAAGACATGTTTATTTTTTTACAATTGGTTCCACGCACAGTATCTGCAGTGCCAAAAAAACAACAACAAAAACAACAACTCCTCCTCTCTGTGCTGGCTCACAAGTCTTCTGTCTCTTCATATATTTTGGGAGGTGCAATGAAAAGGACTTCCCCAAAAATTGCATGACACCTTTTCAAGTTCTCAGAATGGAAGGTGTATTAGCTTCAGTCTCCCACTGCTCACACTAAGTTTGACAGAAGGCAGGGAAACTCCACATATTCCCTACCCCATTGCTTCCAGTTCGCCTGCCTCAGAACCCCTCAACAAAATACACAAAGATGCCTGTTTTCAGAGAATCTGCTGCAGTAAAAAAGTGTGCATGTGTTGGCAGGATGTCTTCATAGAGGTATCATGAAGATGACCCTTACCTCTTCTGGATCACAGGGTATCACAGTGAATTGGGAGACCAAATTGCCACGCATTTGACAGGATGCACACATGGGTCCCCTCTCTTTCCCAATCCCAGAAACAGTGTTCCCTCTAAGATTTTCCATCCATGAGCGGAGTGAGTTTTGACCTGTGTGCACAAGATCATGTGCACTTGTTCGGATGTGTGCCAGTATGGCACCCACTAGTAGCCCTGCTCCCCAGGAAACTCTTCCAGCACAGAGACCCCAAGCCCTGCTCCCAGGTAGTGCCTCACCACCTCGTGGGGAGAAGCTGAGCCGTGCCCTCCTGCAGGGAGCACTACTCCTCGTGGGGCTAGGTGTGAGTCCCTACTTGGGGCAGAGGGAAGCTGCTGCCAGTGCCCAGGGTTTGCATGGAGTGAGGTGCTAGGGGTGGGGCAGTGGCATATGGGGTGTGCATGTGTGTGTGACAGAGGACTGTGGGGAGCAGAGGGCTCTGAAGGGCGAAAGAGAGATGCAGGAGGGGGGGATGGGAGATGCAGGGAGCCCCAGTGCCAGGAGCAGCTGCACGACAGTCTGGCTCCAGCGTTGGGCAGCTGCCAGGGAGCTGCAGTTATAGCCAGGGTCGTGTAGTGGCTGCCTGGCTGCTCCCAGGGTGGGCTGTGTGGCGGGCAGCTGCTCCATGAGCAGGAGCTGGGGGTGCACTGTGGGGTCGGTCCTGCTCCAGTAGCCACCACACAACTCGCCTGGCCACAGCTTCAGCCCTAGAGAAGGGCTGGAGCTACAGCCAGGGCCATGTGGTGGCTGCCCAGCTGCTCCCAAGGCAGGGCTGTGTGGAGGGCAGCTGCCCCTCACACCAGAGCTGGAGCCGGCTCTTGCTCCAGCCCCAGCACACTGGGCAGCCACCTACCATGCAGCCCACCTTGGGAACAGCTGGGCTCCCCACTCTCCCACTGAGCCCACCACCAGCAGGAAGGTGAGTGCTGCTGCGTGGCTCTGCTAAGGAGGTGGGTAGGCTTCAAATCCTTTGTGTGCACATGCACAGGCGTGCAGCACCCTAGAGGCAACTTAGCCCAGAAACATTTTGGGAAAACTCAGAGAAGGAACATTTGCAGATTTTTCTTCCTATCAAAGTCCCTTCACACTATTTAAATTTCCATGTAGAAGCATGATCAGTCTCTTGGCTTTATAAGCCTGTGTTGTCCCCATATTAGACACCCATGTTTAAGACCACTTTACCATGTAGGCACAAAGATTAAGATTGTAGTTCCTTCAAGAAGACATGCTCATATGAGTAAAAGACTTGAAAATACTGCATTATGATGCAGATCAGATAAGAATGGATTTTAAAAGTTTGTGCATGTAAGAATATCAGTATTTTTAAAATCCAGAAAAGGATAAACTTCTATATTTTCCCTTTGGTATTCACCTACTATAAGATATCTTTAACAGTTTAATTATTTATTATTTATTGTTTTAATACCTTGAACATGTAGTGAAGATAAATAATTAATATAGCAAATGCCCCACAAGTAGTCCAGCTAACAAAAACGAGAAGAATGGCCACAAATACTCTTCTTAGAGTCATCAACTTGCTGTCTTTAGGAAGTCCAGGGGGTCTACAATGACAAAAATTATTTTTAGAATTTTAAGTCAAAAAAATCCACAATTATATAAGAAAGAAAAAAAGCTTCTGGTTCACGAATAGCTTAAAACTATTATGTAATAAGTTAGGATGTAGCTACTGCTTAGCTTTTCAGAGGTCTATAAGCAAGATTAGAACATTGTTAACTAATCAAATCACATGCAAATTATGGTGCCTGAAATAATCTTCAGCTGCCAGTTTGTTACCTTATACTTCCAGTTCTTCAAAAATTAGCTAATAAATTCAAATTAGCTAACAAATTTAAGAGTCTGAGACTATATATAATAACTAGTTCATATTTGGACATCTTCTGAGAGTGAAAATCAAGTTTTTTAAAATGTTGGCCTAGGTTTTGCATCCATCATTAAATCTTCATATTCACCTCAGGAGAAGCCAACAACTGGGAATAAGTTTCTAAATCGGGGAGGGCAAATTTTTTGGTCAGATGGTCACATTGGATAGGGAAATTGTATGGAAGGCCAAGTAGGGAAGGCTGGAGGATGCTGTGCCTCCCCAAACAGCCAGGCATGCCTGGACCCACCACTGCTCCCCACTACCCTCTGAACTTTGAGATATAAGCTGAAGTTAGGACTCATGCCATTATTTCCTAATAAGAAAAATGTTTGGTCTGAGTGGCACTGAGGCACAGAACATGTGAACGGAGGCAAGAATTCAGTATATTTTCGCAATGAGCAGAAAGACAGCAAACAGGTGAGTTTTGAAAGGGAAAGGGGGACATTATATTATGTAATGCTTAAACATGAGAAAATAACATAATTGAATGGAAGAAACACAAACCGAGAAAATTGTATAATGGAACCAAGGTAGTCAGATATGGAAGATGTGCCTTATAGATTAAAATCAGAAGGACAGATATAATATTCACAATGTGCAAACAGATTTGTACTCTGGAACAGAGGAACCTGAACAGCATCTGAAGTCTGTTGGAGAGAAAGGATGCTCAAACGGACAGAGGATAGAAGGACAGTTTCTGGAACTAAAAAATTAAATCCATCCATTTCCTGTCTTATAATTGTTAAGTTTCTCTAGTTTATTTATTATTGTTATAGGAAGATAATTATATACTATTAAGCTGTTTACCTTGTCAAAGATAACCACAATGAAGACAGGAGCCTTAGAACTGAAGAAAAGAATATACCACCCCAGTAGGCAATTCCAGTCCCAAAAAGAAATAGAATCAAGGACACAAGAGGGAACCACATATCCTGCTTATTCAATACAACAGCATCCAACTCTGGCAAAAACAATACATTCCATAGGTCTTTAAACCAGTTAAACCTGCCAAAAATATGAAAGAAGCAGTATTAGTAGTCTTTTCTGGTTACTGTTTCAACAGAATACACTATAGCCTTTTAATCAGATCAACATTACAAAAGGTATCTCTGAATCAAAGCATCACAAAGAAAATAAAAGACTACTACAGGCTGAACCTCTGTAGTCTGGCACTGTTGGGATCTGGCCTGGGGGTCTAGATGGTACTGGGTCCTGCCATGAGGGCAGGGGACTGGCCTTGATGAGCTCTCGAGTCCCTTCCAGTTCTAGTGTTCTATGACTCTATGACTGATTCAGAACCAGAGAATTTATCAAACCACAGAAGGTCAATATTGTCTAGCAGCATTACCAACATTTCATTTCCACTGCTTACTCAACTCTAAGACATTTAGAAGTAAATTAAAGCTAAATAACAGCACAGAATGCTGAACACCAGGACTGGTAGCTGTAAACAAAATTTATGAAAGCACGAGAAACCCCACAATAAGTGGACATCCAGCTAACTAAAATCATGCTGGCCCATGGGTGTTGCCAGACCAGAGCATAACATACTAGAAAGGTTCAACTTGTACTTCATTTAAAAAAATGTATAAATAAAACTTCTACACTTTGGAAACTGCCACACAAAATTAAAACAAGTAACACAAAATAACTCACCCCAATAGAAATTTAACAATATTCACAATAGGATCCACTTTGTAAGGTTTGGCTGCTTTCGCCAGTGCAAGAACAAAATCTGAACATTGGCCTAGAAAAAAAAATATAAAAAGACAATATCTCGCCACAAATTTCAAAAGAGAAAGTGAAATAAAACACAAAGCTTCAAAAGTGAAAATAAGAATAAAAACATACTAAGACTATTTCTGCACAACAGCAAGGCTCTTGTTCAAAGTCCTCAGAAACAGATGAAATCTCAGACAAACACAGCAAAAAAAGAACAATACAGGTTGAACTTCTAAAATCCAGGACTCTCCGGTCCAGTGACGGACCACAGATATTGCTGGATCAGAGAGCCCCCCGGCTGGCCAGGTTCAGGAATGCAGCCTTGGAGGGGCTGGTGTGGTGGAGCACAGCCCTGACTGGGCCGGAGGCAGCCTGGGCCAACACCTGGAGTGCATCCTGGGCTGACAGCCAACAGCGGAGCCTGGGCTGGGCAGGCACGGCAGGGAGCGCAGCCCTGGCTGGGCTGGAGGCAGAAGCATCAGCATGTTGAGGATTGCAGCCTCAGCCCCCAGGGACTGGGAGAAGAGCCCAGCGGTGAGGGCTGGCACCTGGGAGCAGGGCCGACAGACAGGAGGGTAGCCTTGACCTTTCCTGGTCTGGCAAACTCCATGGTTCAGGACCACTCAAGTCCCTAAGGCACTGGACCTGAGAGGTTCCAACTGTGCTAACATCACCTGAGCATGAATAAAGATGCTTTTATTGACAAGGGATGGCTTTTTATCTGCCCACATTCCATTCTACTTTTAACTCTTTCAGAATAAGTTCTACTGCTATAACTATTTTTTTTCTTTACTTCTGACAGGAGAAGAATGTTTTTAGAAGAGGACACTAATGGGGAAAAATACCGTGTTTCTTTTTTGGGTGTTAGTTTGATATCATGGCCCAACTAAAGAAGAAAACACCTTCAATTCTAAGGGATTAATATAGTTGTAACCCATAAAAAAAACCACAGAGGTATTTCTATGTGATGAAAATATTAATATGGTGGTTCCAAAATTCACAATTTATGAAGATATGATTACTATCTAAAAATGTGTTGCTAACAAAAACTTTTTTGATACAATGTTACCTGTTGAAAGTAAGGTGCTTAATTGTCCTCCATATGCAAGAAGTACATTAGAAATTATGTACACGGGCAGGGAAGCACTATGAAACCTTATTACCTAGAAAACAAGGATGTTATACAGTTAATTTGAGTATATCAAAAAGGATTAAAAGGTAAACTTGGTTTACCTCATGATATAAGAAGTGTTTTCATGAGATTCAGGTTCTGCTCACCACTTGATGTGCATACTTCAATAATTCCCATTAGCAATAAAAGTTATACTTGAGTAATGCCCATCAACCACACCACTGACTGGCCACCTGATTGGCTGTGTCTAGACTGGCAAGTTTTTCCGCAAAATCATCTGATTGAATCAGATGATTTTGCGGAAAAACTTGCCAGCTGTCTACACTGGCCGCTTGAATTTCCGAAAAAGCACTGATGATCTCATGTAAGATCGCCAGTGATTTTCCGGAAATACTATGCTGCTCCTGTTTGGGCAAAAGTCTTTTTCCGAAAGACTTTTGCGCAAAAGGGCCAGTGTAAACAGCACAGTGTTTTCTGTAAAAAAAGCCCCGATCGTGAAAATGGCGATCGGGGCTTTTTTGCAGAAAACCGCGTCTAGATTGGCCACGGACGCTTTTCCGCAAAAGCACTTTTTGCGGAAAAGCATCCTGCCAATCTAGACGTGCTTTTCCGAAAATGCTTTTAACGGAAAACTTTTCCATTAAAAGCATTTTCGGAAAATCATGCCAGTGTAGACGTAGCCATCATGTTTGGTTTTAGAAATAAAACACCGAATTAGTGAGTTACTCACTTTGTGCAATAATGACTGTTCTAAATGTGTGTCCCCGTGGGTGCCCCACTGTTGGTGACAGGTTGTCCAGAGCCACAAATTTTCAAACCACACTTTTGTGAAACACTACACAATACTACTACAACTCGCATCTGATTCAGCGGTGGCTATTGCAGTCTTGTTCAATGCTGCCGAACAATGACTCCGACTCCCTCCATCCAAGTCAAATACTGCTCTATAGTCACTAACAGTGGAGCACCCAGGTGGACATCACTCAAAGAAGAAAAGGGAGGTACTCACTTGGGGTATGTCTACACTACCACCCTAGTTCGAACTAGGGTGGTAATGTAGGCAACCGGAGTTGCAAATGAAGCCCGGGATTTGAATTTCCCGGGCTTCATTTGCATCTCGCCGGGCGCCGCCATTTTTAAATGTCCGCTAGTGCGGACTCCGTGCCGCGCGGCTACACACGGCACAGACTAGGTAGTTCGGACTAGGCTTCCTATTCCGAACTACCGTTACTCCTCGTGAAACTATATATACTAAGAAAAACTATATATACTAAGCACTAACTGGTTTCATTTAATTTGTTGAAACACCTTGTAGTCACATCTAATCAAATTACTAATTCAATTATTAACCATTAACTATTAACAACAATTTAATGTGTTTGTTTTAGCACAACTTGCCATAACACAATCAGTGCAAAATATATTAGAATTGATCCATACAAAGAAAAACTCCATACAGATATAAGAAAAGCTAGAATATGGTTTATAATTCTTTAAAAATTTAGGGCAATATTCATTCTGATATGTTGATGTGCTAAGTAGCAGTACTTTAAACCCACAGCCACACACACACAGTCAGTCTATCGTGAGAGACTCTAAGAAGGACATAGTAAAATAACTACTTTTAAAATAGCATATACACACAAAAGAAAAAATATTTATAGTCCACATAATTTTCTCAGAGACAGGAAAGACTCACTTTATAATTCAATTAAGACACAGTACTTAAGAATGTCATGTGCATTTTCATTTATATTTGGCATTAACTAAGAGGGCGAATCATAGACTTACACTGGTAATACACAAAGCAAAATGAAGCATTAAAAATATTTGCTTACTTGCCCAAGAACTTGTGAGAATGAGGTCTTGATGGTTACCTAATTGAACATACAAATTAAAAACTTTAATATTTTGTTGAATATTACTCTTAATTGATGAACATTTTGAATAATGATAAGCGCAAAAATTATAAAATTAACACTATATTTCACGTTTTGGCTTCCTGAAAGGAAAAAAAAATCCTCTATATCAGCAGTAGATTGATATCTTCAACGTACATCATCTCACCCTCACATTGGGAAAGCTCAAATGATATTTTAAAAGATTTTATTTGTTTGAAGATTTAGCCCATCTTTCAATAGTCCTTCACCTGCTCTAAACTATTTTAATGGCACTACATAAATACAGAATTAAGAATTTAAATCACCTTTAGATTTGATGAGCAAGAAAAATATCTTTAATGAATTATTCCTCAGAATATGCAGAGAGAGAGAGAGAAATTCTAGAGTTACACAATAAATTATATATAGTAAAGTAAATAACTCTGTTACTTACTTCGTATTGACAATCTGAAGATGAATAAATATTTAATACTGCAACGGTGCTGTCATTTTCAGGCTGTGCAATATGTAGTTTTGCAGAAATCTCTGTAAAAGATGGAACTCTGAAATGAAAACAATTAGTAAATGCTCTAACTGTAATAAAAAGATGTAGAAATATGTTAGAGTATTCAATAGAAGGGGCTGCAAAACAGCAGCATCATAGCGGGGCCAGCCTCATGGCACAGTAGTGGTTATTTATACCATCATGAAGAACTGGGTTACATTTTCAGTCCAGATCTCTTTTTCTCTGAGCTGGCAGGGTACTAATAAAGGAAGAATACAGATCCAGTCCCCGAAGTAAGGAGGCCTAGTAACATTACTTAGGGTATGTCTATACAGCAGGGCTAAAGTCAAAATAAGCTTTGTCATTTGAGCTATGTCAATTGCATAGGCTATTTCAGCTTTTGGCACTGTCCACATACGAGGAAGTCTGAGAAAGAGCACTCTTCCTCCGACTTCCCTTCCTCCTCGTAAAATGAGGGTTACAGGAGTCTGAGTAAGAAGTCTTCCGGCTACAAAATAATGTTGAGCTGGAGGACTTCATACTCTGATTTCTGTAACCCTCATTTTATGAGGAGTAAGGGAAGGTGGAGGAAGAGTGCTCTTTCTTGGACTTCCTGCTGTGTAGACAGCACCAAAAGCTGAAATATGCTTTTTTGACTTAAGCTACGCAATTTATGTAGCTCAAGTTGCATCGCTTATTTTGGCTTTAGCCGTGCTGTGTAGAAGTGCCCTAAGTAAGCTATGCTCTGAAAGATTCAAAAAATTCAAAGCAGTCCTCAAAAGTAAACTATTGGTTCAGACTTGAGCCTTCAAGATCTGAGAAGGGTGCATATGTTCAAAAAAAGGGAAGGTGAGAATCCTGAGCTCTGAAATGAACAGAGAAGTGCATATCATCCATTTTCAGAACATTAACTCTAATTGTAATCTGCAATACATTACAACTAATTCTATTTCAAACCCATTTTATGTTCTAACCTCAATCTCAACAAGCTCTTGATGTTGGTCAAAGCAGCTTGTTATTTATGGAGAACTATCTGAATAAACAGTATTCAATATTTTAAATTATGCACTGATTAAGAAAGCATAAAATTGTGATTAGATTACTGCTAACCATTAAATAAAGTACGAATTTTGAAACTTGATTTATATGTGAGAATGAAAGAATATTTCTTCAAAGCACCATAAGCACTACCACAATGCATGTCGGACAAGCAAATGGACTGTATTATCTGATGTTCACAGAGTGACCTTCCCCATCTGAAATAATGGGCTGCACTTCTGCAAATACTAGAGATAGTTCAAACTCATCCATGTCTTTTCTGTTATCACACCCTACACACTTCCAAAACTCCCTTTGGATACATTTGGACTAGATACTTGCTCAACTCTGTTCCTTTCATCTCTCACAAAGATGGAATGTGGCCTTTCTTTTTCCTGGTGTGAATTCCTGGGGCATGGAGAAGTTCACAGAGGTAGCCATCCAGTGTGAACCATCCAGTGTAACAAGCGTCTATGCTACCAGGGCAGGGAATGCACCAGGTATAGAGGAGCACATTACACCCCAGGTTGCAGCTGACATAGGTTAAACAAAATCATGACCCTGGCTTGTCTCTGATTAAACCAATTACACCTTTGGCACAGCAGAAAGTCTAGCCCTAAATTCTTGTTACTGTAGTAAATATAATCTAACAAATATCTTATTCAGCTTACTCAGGAAGGATGTGCAGGATAAACAGGGGGGAGGTGTTGCCTTATATATTAAAATATATATACTTGGACTGATGTGGAGATAGACATAGGAGACAGATATGTTGAGAGTCTCTGTGTTAGGTTAAAAAGGGTAAAAAAAATAAGGATGATGTCATGCTAGGGGTCTATTATAGACTACCTACCCAGGTAGAAGAGGTGGATGAGGCTTTTTTTAAACAACTATCATAATCATCCAAAGCGCAGGATTTGGTGGTGATGAGGGACTTCAACTATCCAAACATATGTTGGGAAACTAACACAGCAGGACACAGACTACCCTATAAGTTCTTGGACTGCACTGAAGACAATTTATTTCAGAAAGTTGAAAAAGTTACTAGGAGGGAAGCTGTTCTAGATTTGATTTTAACAAATAGGGAGGAACTAGTTGAAAATTTGAAAGTGGAAGGCAGCTTGGCTGAAAGTGATGATGAAATCATAGAGTTCATGATTCTAAGGAATGGTAGAAAGAGGAAGAGCAAAATAGAGACAATGGATTTCAGGAAGGAAGATTTTGGTAAACTCAGAGAGCTGGTAGACAAGGTTCCATGGGAAGCAAGACTAAGGGTACGTTTAGATTACATGCCTCTGCCGACAGAGGCATGTAAAATAGGCTACACAACATAGTCAATGAAGCGGAGATTTAAATATCCCCGGCTGCATTCAAATAAAAATTGCTGCTGCGCTGTACCTGCTCAGCTGATCGTCGGCACAGCGCGCGAATCAAGATGTGGATCTGTCAACAGGGAACACCTTTGTCAACTGCTCCTGTAAACCTTGTTTCACGAGGCATAAGGGAGAGTAGTTATAAACTATTCACAATCATGCTAGAAGGGTATAACAAGTGGGGGTTCTGCGAGGGTCTGTTTTTGGACTGGTCTGTTCAATATCTTCATCATCAAGATGTGGATCTGTCAACAGGGAACACCTTTGTCAACTGCTCCTGTAAACCTTGTTTCACGAGGCATAAGGGAGAGTAGTTATAAACTATTCACAATCATGCTAGAAGGGTATAACAAGTGGGGGTTCTGCGAGGGTCTGTTTTTGGACTGGTCTGTTCAATATCTTCATCAACGACTTAGATATTGGCATAGAGAGTACGCTTATTAAGTTTGCAGATGATACCACGCTGGGAGGGGTTGCAACTGCTTTGGAGGATAGGGTCATAATTCAAAAGGATCTGGGCAAACTGGAGAAATGGAATGAGGTAAACGGACTGAAGTTTAATAAGGACAAATGCAAAGTACTCCACTTAGGAAGGAACAATCAGTTTCACACATAGAAAATGGGAAGCGACTATCTAGGGGTCATAGTGGACCACATGTTAAATATGAGTCAACAGTGTGACATTGTTGCAAAAAAAGCAAACATGAACAGGAGTGTTGCAAGCAAGACACGAGACGTCATTCTTCTGCTCTACTGTTCACTGATTAGGCCTCAATTGGAGTACTGTGGTCAGTTCTAGGCACCACATTTCAAGAAAGATGTGGAGAAATTGGAGAAGGTCCAGAGCAGAGCAACAAGAATGATTAAAGGTCTAGTGAACTTGACCTATGAGGAAAGACTGAAAGAACTGGGCTTGTTTAGTTTGGCAAGGAAAAGACTGGTAGGGGACATGATAGCGGTTTTCAAGTATCTAAAAGGGTGTTACAAAGAGGAGGGAGACAAATTGTTCTCATTGGCCTCTGAGGATAGGACATGAAACAAAGAGCTTAAACTGCAGCAAGGGAGGTTTAGGTTGGACATTAGGAAAAACTTCCTAACTGTCAGCATGGTTAAAAACTGGAATAAATTGCCTATAGGGTGGTTGTGGAATCTCCATCTCTGGAGATATTTAAGGGCAGGCTAGATAGACATCTGTCAGGGATGGTCTAGACCAGTGGTTCTCAACTCGTTTCAGTCCATGGACCACCAGGCCAACCAAAAAATGTTCATGGACCACCTCCTTTTTGAAACATGATAAAAAAGAGCAGACAACGAACATTCTGGTTTGAAATTTATTTCTTACCAACAGATTTTTGGATTCTCTTCTCACTGACAAGCTTTTCAATATTTGGAGTGGTACTTGATAATGCACAACAAATATCGCTTTCCACTGCAAGCCGATTCTTCTGTTTGGACTTAACGTGCAACAAACATGAAAATCTAGTCTCTCACACTTAAGTTGATGCAAATGGCAAAAGAAATCTGACTGCATGTGCTGACAGATTTGGGTAACTCCCGGTCATGCTGGCCCCAAATTTCTCTATGGTAGACTGCTGGTACACGTCTTGAGCCGCAAAATTATTTTTTCAGATCCAAGAATTCCTCCTGCAGGTGACACTATGGATGACGCGCTACATGCATGTGAACACAGCGTAAGACAGCCTAACGGCGGTGCTTGCTTACACCGTGTGACTTTGGACAACGTTCCTGTGGACCACCAAAAAAGTCACTATGACCACCAGTGGACCATGGACCACCAGTTGAGAACCACAGGTCTAGACCAGGTGCTTGGTCCTGCCATGAGGGCAGGGGACTGGACTCGATGACCTCTCAAGGTCCCTTCAAGTTCTAGTGCTCTATGATATGGAAGGAAAAAAGACTGAGGCATACAACCCTCACCTGTCCATAAAGAAAATGCAGCGAGGCTTGTGCCTTCCTAGAACAGAATTTCTGAGACTCTTCTCTCCTATATGACTGCAACCAAGAAATAATTGTTATGAAAAGGAATAGCTGAACTTCCAATTTCTCAACTGAAATACTCCTTGTGTCAGGGACAATTCTATGTTCCCTATCTGCTCTTCCCTGATTAAAGCCAGGATCCTCACATCCAATAAAGGTATTTATCCTTGCTTTAAGCTTGGTTGTCTTCTTTGCCTACCTGGGTCTTGACGGTGGCCACCACATTAGTCTCCATGAATTAAGAGTATCCTGGAGGGAAAAGGAAGAAGTGCAGCCTACCCTCTGAATCTCATGGACAAGTCTGAACTACTTCTGGTATTTACAGGATGAGAGAGGCAGCCCAAATGTCTAAGACAGAGAAAAATCCAATTCCAGACAGGTTACTCTTCTAATGTGTCTGGGATGTAAACTCTACTTTGAAAGATAACCAGGAAAAACAGAATCTCAAAACTCCTTACTTAGAGACAGTTATTGAGTCTTCATGTGACCATGGTATATGAAGTCTGTAAACACTAGTTTTCCTTTCTGAAAAGAAATAGAAGTACAAATGAATTATGAAACATTGTATAACATTAAAATTACTGTAGTTCATTCATAGTTCAATATAATGGATAACATGATTATTTCTACATTTCAAATATCAGCAACAACTGGTACAGTTTGGACTTCTAAATATCACTGGTGATACTTTATAAGACAGGAATAAATGGAGAATACAAACTATATCCACAAGTCTAGAAAGAAATCTAAATTGCAAGCCATATAGTAATATATTAAGAGTTAACATTTGGTTAACAGTATAAAGTTTGAAATTGCATTAGTGTGTGTGATTGATACAATATATGACTGATAAAGAGTTAAATGTGTGAACTCTCCTCCAAAAAACAGATTAGAAAAGCTTAATAAGCACTGCACTGTGCCTATGTAACCCACACTCCTAGTGGGTGTGATTCATTGTTCCATGTAGTGGTGCTTAGACTACAGAGAGCGAGAGATAAGAATAAGTGTTTTATAGCTCAAGCTGGCTTTATAGGGGCCTGCAGGAGAAGCATGAGGGCATGTGACTTGGGCTGTCCCTTCCCGGCCTGGGTGTGAAATTCCCAGGAGTTAAGGGGTTAACCCCTGCTCCAGTGCTACAGGCTTCCTGGTTTGCAAGTAGGCGCGGCTGGGCCTGCTCTGCAGAGCTGGGACTTGGTGGCCAGCACAGGTGGGGAGCTGGGGCCCGGGCTGTTCCCCATGGGCTGCATGCGGGGCTGAGGAGCCCCTTCCCTAGCACCCCTCTGTGCCTGGCAGTGCTGGAGCCAGCCCCCGGCTCTGCCTGCCCCAGCCCCAGAGCCACAGCCTGCAGCACTAGCAAAATGGTTCAGGCGTAGTTATGTAATTAACAATGAGTTTCTATTTGCAACAGGTAGTCCGTGGAAAGTTTTGCATTGCCACAGGTGGTCTGCAGGGCAGCTGGTGGAGAGAGCGCTCCCCTCCTCCTGGGAGAGCAGCACAGTCCAGGGAAGGAGGCTTATCTCTTGGCATGCCACTTCAGAAATGTTACTGACACCTGCTGTAGAGGCTCCTACTCTAAGCTCCAGAGGTCCCAGGTTCAAATGCACCTGCAGGTGGTTACATCTACATCATCTTTTTTGCATGCTTTCACCACAATCCTAGGTTCTTCCAGTGTTGGGCATATGATATGGCACAGTATGTAGTTTTGGCAAGATTTTTCATGCTGCAAGGGAGCATAGATAAATCCTTTCTAATTATTTTTATTTCTAACCACTCTCCCACAAACACACTGAAATAAATTATATCTACAAACAGAAATAGAGCCTAGCAGGGTAAGGTGTTTAAACTGCAGTGATAAAAGTAAAATACAGTTGGCATACCAATACACATATTGAGTCGTTAATATAACCTATGAATGAACTACAGTTCTTTTGCATATATAGTTACTGAACAAAAAAGTAAAAAGCCAACGCACAGGGAGAGGATAAAGGTGGATAAAACCAATTATTCTGTGATCGTGAGCTCTAACATATAGCACTGTAACACCTACCCCTACTTTTACTGACTTCCTGAAGCAGGGGGGGGAACAAAGTAGTACATTAATATCCAGACTACCCACATTTTTTCTTTTAAAAATGCATTATTCACAACAGGATTTTTTTCCAGATTTTGTTTAAAAGAAGTGTGTAAACAGACAGACTGAGACCTGAACAAAGAACATTTGGGTTAATTTTTAAAAGCCAGAAAAAATCTTTTACCCAGAAGAATTGAAAGGTGTAACTGGTTCAGGAAAGTGGTACTAAGACACAGAGCTTCTCATTCCTAAGTCAACAATTCAGATTTTACTTCAATCAATGACAACTGAGGTTCATTCCCATACAAGGTGTCATGCTTCAATTCCCCAACCTGCCACTTGGAGTGTAGATATGTGGGCTGGCTAGCAGAATAAACTCTGTTAGAACCTGTCTCTAACTCCCAGAGACAAACTTGTCCATTCTGTTTCCCTGAGACCCAAAAAGAAAGAAGACAGATTGCTGCCACTGCCAAATGTAACTAAAAATATAAAATAAGCCTTTTTCCAGGGAAGAGATCACTTGGAATCTCTTCCCTGAGGCAAAACTCTCCTATACCCCAACCTCCATTTTGCTTGGAGCTGGGAAAATACACAGAGATAATCCGCAGAGAACAATGGAGCTCTGCTTCTTCCAGATAAACCTAGGTGCCTAAATAAAGGACACAAAAATTTGTGAAATTGATTTCAACCAATACTGATTAACCAAAACAAAAAGAAAACGCTTTCATTATTAAAACAAGACTACTGTTGCAACCACAGTAAATGACTGGGTATTAAAAGCCATGGATTAAAGTAGAGAATCCATGAGCTATAATCCTTAGTTACAAAAGAGAAAACAATTAACCAGTTCAGACATAAATTTCCAAAACCCCAAACAAGGAAAACAATAAGCCTGCTGGACTATCTAAACTTTTCCCTACTTACACATTTCAATGAATTCAAGGAGTCTGTTCCTGGGAGAGTCCGTCTCTCTTTCTACCTGGGGAAAATCTGCTGCTCACCCGAAACAAATAAAAAAAACCCCGCTCCCTCAGGTGCACCTGCAGGTAAGTCCAACTCTCCTTTGCAGCTCCTATTCATGACACAAGAACTCTAGAGCTCATAGTCCAGATCGTGATAGACAATGTCAACCTAACAAAAGCCTACTATTATGAGTGACACCTCTCTTAAAAGAGAAACCAAGAATGTAATGGTTAAGAAGACCAGAATTCCCCTACCTCCTTTACAAATAGTCCTTCTAGAAAGAGAGGTAAAGTACACTTGCAGGGTTGGGAAGCTTGCACAGAGACTGCTTGTATTTTATCTGTTCATTGGATAGAACAGAGGATTTAGGTCTCCAAAGTTCTCAGGGTGTACTTACACTGTACTGTACCTCAAAATAAGATACTCAATTGAGCTATGCAAATTGCATATCCTATTTCGATGCGATTTCAAAATAGCTTATTTCATCATTTGGCACTGTCTACACAGCACCAAATTTCGAAATAAAGCGTTATTCTGAAACATCCCTTACTCCTTGTAGAATGAGGTTTACAGGAATGTCAGAATAGCGAGACTGAAATAATGGACTTGCTGTTAAGACATGGGATAGCTATTTCAGGATATTCTGGTATTCCAAAACAGCAACGCCATTTTAACAGCAAAAAAATGCTACAAAAAAGAACCTGATGGCAATCACTTTACAGTATGGAACAGGAAAGAGCTGGGAGACAGATATATTTTAACAGCCTTTATTGGAACCATTTATGTGAACTTTAGAAAACATTTCATTTACCTTTGCGTGGGTGACAGTGACTCTCAATGTAGATTTTAAAAGCTTGGTATATCTAAAACAAACAAAAAGCCCAAGTAACACACTTATTCACATGCATTTCCAAAGGAACTCATTAGTTAATATCAATTTTGTTTTAATTCAGTATTTTACCTGGTCAAAGTGCTGGAGTTGCACATTGTAAATCAAACCAGTTGAATTTAATACAGTTTTGCTTGAAGAGAGCCCTGTAGAAATGACAATTCTATATTATTTCCAATTAATAAATCTAAGACTGATTTGCTTGAAAAGATCACTACAACTAAGGTTTTCCTTGGAAGTTGGGATAACACAGGGCTCGACAATCTATTGAATCTACTCGCCTTTGGCGAGTAGATTTCAGCCTGGCGCCCCGTTCACCAGTGGCACGCGCATGCGCAATGCAGCTCTTACGCATGCACAGTGCAAGGCTGGTGAGCAGCTTTCGCCGCGGTTCGGCGAGCCCTGTTTATATGCATACTTGATCTGCTACATATTTGAGAGAGGCTGTCTGTCTGTTCAAGAACTCCTCCTAAATGGTAAGGGCTAGGATTATCAAATTTGGTATACAGCTTCCTCTTACCATAGCTAAAAGCAAGGTAAGAATTTAGTTGTACTTGGAATTTGACTGTTTTCCATAACATGGAAAGAGAGGAGGCTGAGTGAAAGGGCACTATACTCACAGTCACCACTGAGGGGAGTGAGTACAGGGTAAAGCTACACTGCTGAGTGACCACTGGTGTCAGCTGTATCACCAAGGGAGTGATCAGCTGGAGACAGGGCCTACTATCTTGCTTGCCAGCAGCCCAGGTGAGTGGCCCTCCTGGCCCAAATCCTAATCCCTGACTCCTGGCCCCAGAACCGGACTGAGACGGGAAGAAGCCCTGCTGGCCCCACTGCCATGTCCCCCCAGGAGCACTGCCAAGGCCAGACAACGTGCCCCCCCCCACCAGAGCCACAGCCTGCCTCCCCTTAGGACTGCTATGGTGCCCAGTGTGATAGTAGCTGGCTGTCCCCTCCCCACAGAGCCTGGGCCCAGGGAAAGCCAGCAGGAGGCCTATGTGGCCTCCCGCACCCTGGACCAGGTCATACCAGTGGGAGATCTGTGCAGACCCCCACAGTCTAAGGCTGGGCTCAGGTAGCACCGTTATTTCTTCTAATGAAACCATACAGAAAGGAGACAGAATCACCAGGTAGATGAAAGGGGCTGGTTGAGAGTACATGTCCCTTCCTGTCCGGAACTGCCCCAGTCTCAAACCTTCCCCTCCCCAGATGCCCTTTAGGAAAGGCAGGAGGGGGCTGAACTTCCCTCTCCTGATTCATACAGGGATACTGCTCCCTTTCATCAGAAAGAGAAAGGGAAAATGCACAGATCTGCTTCGAGTGATGTCCCCACGGGTGCTCCACTATTGGTGACTGGTGGCCCAGAGCCGCAGATCGGAGCCTTGCAAAGCAGTTTCCCCCATTGAGCTGCACATGCACAGGAGATGTCTCATGGCCTGATCCCTCCCTTTCAGTGGGTGCCCTGGGAATGTTGGGACCCAAACAGACAGCACTTCTCAACCCACTCTACACCAGCAAAAAGATACTTGCTTCCAACCCAATCCCACATAAGAACCCGGCAGTGCAAAAGACTGCCACAGGCAAAAACGGCATGTTCAAATAAAGCAGTACCACCTTCAGGGCTACAGCTCTCAACTCCAGCCATACTGGCAATAGATACAGATCCACAGTTGACTCGGGCAAACACCTTTACTTGTGCTCTGCCTCTACAGGTCTGTCACCTGCAGTATCTCCAGCCCGCAGCTCTCCTCGCATAATTAGTTCTCTCAGAGTCTTTTACCTGATGATGACCAGGTAAGTCCATTCTCATCACAGCATGCATCACCAACAGGATCACAGTCCTGGATTACAGAGTCAGGCCTCATCAACCTTCTGGTACTTACACTGGGTTTATCCCCCTCCACCTATTCATTGCAGTGGGTGCCCTGGGAATGTTGGAACCCAAACACACAGCAATCCTCAACCCACTCTACACCAGCAAAAAGATACTTGCTTCCAACCCAATCCCTTCCCCCACCCGAAGACTCTGAGGAGGAGGAGGGACAGATAGATGACAGGGACCTAGATCCTCATGAACCTGGATCCTCCAACAGATCCAGATCCTTCATCGCTGCCAGATGATATAGTCATTCCATCTGACATATGCCCAATGGACAATCTTAAAAATTTCAAGAGTTATTCAAAAGAGTGGAAGCAAGTCAACAAGTTCTACTTCAAGAAGTGCAAGAAAAATAGCACTGCTTGTTGAAGAATTTACACCCCATGTTGCAGGGGAAGATTGCCTTGCCCATAGATGAGGCAATTATGGAGACATCAGATGAATTATGGAAAATGCCTGCATCTATCCAGCTTACCTGTAAAAGGGTGGACAGGAAAAACATGTAATTTTTATTCACACGTCCCCAAACCAAATTTCTTGGTTGTAGAATCAGCCCAGCAGAGATCCGAACTACCACAGTATAGGATGTGTAATAAAGACTAAGACCACAAGAAGTTAGATCTCTTTGGCAGAAAGATCTACTCTAGCAATTCTCGGTTGCAGCATGGAGGAAATTACTCTGTCCTTTTGGCAAATCATGATTTTAATAACTATTCAAAATTGGAGAATCTCACTCAACACTGCCCTGAATCAAAGAGACCAATCTTGAAGGCCATAGTCCATAAGGGCCATACGATTGCCCGCACCACAGCCTACAAGCAGCGTTGGACACTGCCAATACTACAGCTAGGGAAACGGCCACAGTGGTAGTTATGCGGAGGGCATCCTGGTTACAGGTCTCGGGTGTTCCCCGTGAACTTCAGACCAAAATGAAGGACCTCCCATTCGACAAACAAAAATTATTTGCAGCTAAGACAGATGAGGTGCTGTACAGTAGCAAACACTCAAGAGCCACGCTCAGTACCCTCGGCATGTATACTTCTCCTTTTTGGCGCAAGTGATGCACTCCATATAATCACAATAGATATGGCCAATATAATCGGCCACCACAGACACTGTATGAAGATGCCTGAGCAAGACAGCATGCACAGAGGAGGTGCTCCAACCAGGGTCGCCCCTATAGCACCCAGGCCTCAAAGCAGCAGGTTTCAGGGTGTGGTCGAGGGTCTGCACGACCTCCCTTACGATTCAATGCCAACACAGCACTGCCATCTTTTTACCCGCTGTTTGCATCCCTTCCTAACATATCGGGAGTCCATAACATTGGTCTGTTGAGTGCTGGAGATAATCTGAATGGGATACGTTATCTCCTTTACTTTTACCCTCCCACCATCTCCGTCCCTCTTCAGGGACCCTTCACACAAGAGCCGACTAAAACAGGAGATCGATCACCTTCTGATGCTTGCAACCACAGAGAGGGTACCCAAGGAATTTCACGCAAGAGGGTTCTACTCCAAATACTTCCTGACCGAGGATGTATTTCTAATTCAATGGAGGGCCCCTCTACATTACACTGTTCCCCCATATCACTTATTCCCGTAGTCCTACACGTGATGCACAGAGACTGGGCTCATGTCATTCTAATAGCTCCTACTTGGTCGCACCAGACCTAATTTCTATACCTGGACAGACTATCGGTTCAAGCTGCCTACCCATTGCCACTCTGATGTGACCTTCTCTCCCAGCCTCACACTCTTCATCTTCAAGCGTGGCTCCTATCTGGTTCAAGGAATTAGAGACCCGATTTTCTCAACAAGCGAAGGAAGTTTCCTCCACAGCAGAAGACCTTCCACACGAAAGACATACATACAAAAATGGGCACGTCTCTCTCAACAGTGCCAGATCTAACTGATAGACCCTTGCACATCCCCACTGATCATAATTCTGGACTACATATTACAGCTTAAGACGTTCAGACTCTCATTTTCTTCTCTAAGAGTCCACCTTTTGGCAATAACAGCTATCCTCATTCCTGTGGATAGACTCTCCATATTTACTCATCCTGTCACAAAAAGTGATAGAAATGTAGCCGTGTTAGTCTGGTGTAGCTGAAACAAAAAACAGGACTATGTAGCACTTTAAAGACTAACAAGATGGTTTATTAGGTGATGGGCTTTCGTGGGCCACATATTCACTCTGCTGATACCATTACTGGACCTAACAATTGAGTTATAAGATCAAGAACACATATTCCTGCTCATCCAGAAATATAATTTATGCTATCATGTGCCGAAAGTGTCCGTCTGCTATGTACATTGAACAAACGTCTCAGACACTTCGCCAAAGAATCAATGCCCACAAAACAGATAGTAGACAGGATCACAAAGAAAAAACAGTTTCTTGCCATTTCAACCAGAAAGGACATTGTCTCAACAACTTTATTACCTGCATCCTGCTTCAAAGACCTTTTCACACCAGACTTGAAAGAGAATCCTCTGAACTGTCATTCATGCTTAAATTCGACACTTTATAACTCGGTCTAAAAAAAGACAATTATCTTACCCATTACAAAGATAGCTTCCCCAATTATCACCTCTAATATCATTAGCTCACAGACATTTAACTCCCCCCCCCCATCCGTTCTGAAATTTGATTTGTCCTTTTCATATGTGTTCATTTTTTTTATTGTATCCTTTGGTATATATGGTTGTGCCAATTTTCTTCCACTATTTGATCTGAGGAAGTGGGTCTGGCCCACGAAAGCTCCTCACCTAATAAACCATCTTGTTAGTCTTTAAAGTGCTACATAGTCCTGTTTTTTGTTTCTGTCACAAAAAGGTTCCTGAGGGGTTTCATAGGACTCCACCTCCCTCATGGGACTTAAACCTTGTTTTGGATTGCTTGACCAGGTGTAGCCAGACAGGAACCCCCCTTGTAACATCCATTTTTGCTTGCCTGGAGCATACAGGGCACACAGAGCAGAAGGCCCAGGCTGCTGTGACTGTGAATGGCTGTAAACCGAGACACGCCAATTGCTGACCAAGAGGCTGCCAAGGAGTGTCCATGACTTAACCCATATTGATACGAACACACAGCCGTCCGCGGGGGGAGGAATCTCTCGCCCAGTAAAAAAATGTCTAGTACACACAATTTAGTTATCTCTCTTGCAAGTGTAAATTAACTTGAAACTTGCTTGTAAGAACTGGCACCACAAAATGGACCAGTACAATTCGGCATCTTAGATAAGAAAGAGGATACGGGCCCCCAGGGGTATATAGATGGGTCCAGCAGCACATTTTCTCTGAGTGTCAATCTACCATCTATCTGCTGGTCGGGTTAGGTGTTTGATCTCCCGAGGTTCCAGAGGGGACGCCCACCTCGTATTCGTCTTTCCTAGGAATTGAGAGACCGGCCCTGGCCTGACACGCTGGAGTCGAGAGGCACAGAAAGGGGTAAAAATTGTACCTGGATGCGGTCCTTTGTTTAAGTATATATATACATAGTGTTAGAGCTCTTTAAAGATTAAGCTATCACTTGGTACCATTATTTCTATTTTCTATCTTTACCTTTTTTTCCTGTAACTATTTTTAAGACCTATATATATATATATATTTATTTGCTAGCATTTAAGAAATAGAGCAATAGCCATTGTAACCATATGCTTTTATAAGTTTTTTTTTTAATAAACCTGTAACTGTTTAAGTTTTAACCTGACTCCTTCAGTTGCTGTAATAGAACCAAGCACAATTTAAAAGAACTTCAGCCGGTCAAAAAGGACAGGCATAGGAAGAGCTTGGGCGTTTGGATTTGTGTCACTCCCAGGTGGCAGATCCGTTGGGGAACCTCTCAGTCTTTCCCAGGCTGCCCGCTGCAAAGGAATCTTGCATTCTAGCAGCTAAAATCTGAGGTGTAATAAGCTCTTCCTATAAAGGGGCGTCTGTTGGCCTGCTGGCCATCCTCTGCAACGGGACCCCAGTCCTAGCAGTAAAGACACAGACGTTAAACCTTTTCTCGAAAACACACACACACACACACACACACTGCCCTGACCGTCGGCTGACACCAGGCCCCCCTTCAAACCTTTGGCCATCGTTGCTCTTCCCTTACTCTTTATGAAGGTCTGCTTCCTACTAGCCATTACCTCAGGACAGTCAGTGAGCTTAGGGCCCTTATGACGGAGCCCCTCTACACCATCTTTACAAAAGACCAAGTCACACTAAGACCACCACACCAGACCTTCTTGCTGAACTTGATAGTTAGAACTCGAGATATGTAGCTAGAACTCAAGCCTTTCGTAAATCTCAACAATTTTTTATTTCTATTGCTGAACACTCAAAAGGTATACTTATTTCATCCCAGTGGATCTCAAAGTGGATACTGACATGCATAGTCAGATGTCACACTCTAGCCAATAGGCCCTTTCAGCACCCACCATGAACACATTCTACTCAGGCTACAGCAGCCTCCATGGGCTTTTTGAACAATGTTCCCCTAAGAGATATTTATCGAGCTGCCACATGATCATCAGACTACACTTTTGCCAAACGTTATGCCATACTACCATAACTCGCATCTGATTCAGCGGTGGCCACTGCAGTTTTGTCCATCACTGCCAACGACTCCAACTCCCTCCTTGCAAGTTGAATATTGCTCTATAGTCACCAACAGTGGAGCACACATGGGGACATCACTCGAAGAAGAGAGTTACTCACTTTCTGAAGTAACGACTGTTCTTCGAGATGCGAGACCCCGTGGGGTGCTCCACAATCCTCCCTTCATCCTCTCTTCTTGGAGTCTCACTTACTCTGGTGTAGATGAGGAACTGAAAGGGAGGGATCGGGCTGCACAAGTAGAATGCTTGAGTGGGAGTGCCGTGAGATGCCTCCTGTACATGCATGGGCTCAACAGGGGAAACTGATCTGCAGCTCCAGGCAACCTGTCACCAACAGTGGAGCTACTCACAGGGACACTTCTCGAAGAACAGTCATTCTGCATGAAATGAGTAACTCCCCTTTAGCTGCATTCCTCACTCTGGCTGAGGAGCACAGGGACCTGACGAACCTGGACCTGCCCAACTGGGGAACATACACCCCTGCCATGGCTATGCGCGCTGGAGCTGCAGCAGCCATGGAGAGGTGCTTCTCCCCTGGTCCCAGGCTGCTGCAGTGAGAAAGGTCCGGGATGGTCCTCTCTCCCCTGGGAAGTCTGCATACTGAACCCCTCATCCCCAGCTCCACCCTAGAGCAATGATTTAAACGAAACATGTCATTTTCATTTTATTTTTAAAAAAGCAATTGAATTAAGGACCCAAGCAATGCCCGGTAAATCTTCTAGTATATGATATTTATGAAGTATCTGATAGAAAGGGTGAAATAAAGCTTGCTTAATAGGAAATTATCTTTAAACATAAAAGATTGATCTTTGGAGCTATTTTAAGGCCTGATTTAAGTTTTCAAGTTTTGCAAGAGCAGTGCATTATACCTACCAAAAGAAAAAAGATGTGTTACCGGGAGTTGTACTGTTCGGGAATCCTCTTTAAAGAATTCACAGTCCAAAGTAAACTGCAACATAGATATATTTTATTGCAGAGATCTGAAATGAACATAAAGCTAGAGCATTGAGTCTGGCCATATTCTTGTCTGAACCCCAGACAGAGGACAACACTAAAAGACTGCTGAAACACAGTGACTGGCCTGCAGCGGGTTCAGTCACTAGCGCAAGCCAGAATAGCTTTACAGTAACTTGCTCTCATTTTGACCCAGCTGCCACATATTGTGGCATGGACAAAGTGCAGCTATCTTCAGGTCAGTGCCTCATTCTCTGGGGGAAAAGAGAGTGGAATCGAGCTGACTATGCCCCTCAAGGATTCCCCAACAGAAGAAGAATATTTATATGGCCAACTATGCCAGCAGTAACCATGCTTTGTGCTCCTGGAGCAGCACATATGAACTGAGCCCAGCAGAGAATTTGGTCCACAATCTAGAAAATATATTTAGTTCATTTAAAATTACAGTCTTGCCTCACCTTAAAACCAGTGTTTCTTACTCTCCATTATAAAAGTCGTGTGTAAGCTGCTTAACATATGCACTATAAATAAACATAAAGATGGTCTCTCTATGAAACTATCTTCCATCTCATTCATGATTATACAGACCACCTACTCTGACCTTCTCAATCAAAGAACAGCTTTGTAACAGCTACTGCAACAGCTTACATGAAATGCAGAGCTAGGAAAGCATACATGCATACTGTCTTACAAATAAACCGATAGATAGAAAGAACCACTGGCAAGCACCAGACTGAAAATCACAGCTATCTGCTTTTTTTGAGTAAGCATACAATCTGTAATTCATGTTTGGAATTATAGGTACTTTCAGCAGACTAGATATTAAATTAGTTGAAAAATCTACTTTTGAATCACATACTGCAGGCAAAGCTATACTTTGTAAAGGTATTTAGCACAACTCTCATTTTAATACATTTTCCTTGCAACCAATAATGACAAAAATAATATTCAGTTATCTTGAACAGAAGCTGAATTGAATCAAGTGTTTTAGTGTTTCGTCTCATCTTAGTTACCTTATTGCCATTAATAGCTGGTACATAAATGACAAGATTAGACAAAGAAGGATATTCCTGAAGCTTCAGAGTTACAACCTAAAATAAGAAATTTTAAAAATTACTGACAGTAAAATTATAGTTTGGTTCAGTTAAGAATTTCAGGCAAGAGTTTCATTCCTATTCCAGCTTTTATGTGGTACAAGGGGCCCTAAAATCCCTGTATCCGGCCAGGGAAGAAATTTGCAAATCACAGTATTGAAAAGGGTACCATATTTTAGCGAATATAATCCATGGGTGATATTTGTTTTTACAAACCCTGCAGACACACCCCCTCCGCGGGGTATACTTGGGTGCGGGGTATACAAAATTTTTTTTACACACCAGCTCACCGCCCGGTTCCTCCGCAGCCGTAGGAAGGGGCAGGAGGCACACTTCCCCGCCTGCGCAGAAACCGGGCAGTGAGTGCTCCCCCGCCTGGAGGCCGGTGGCTGCGCAGAACCGGGCAGTGAGTGGCTGGCTAATTAGTAATGTAGAATAATCTCTACTACAGCGATTCCCAAACTTTTCGGCATCACGCCCCCTTCTTGATTTTTTAGAAACCCTTGCGCCTCTCCATCTCTTCTTTACCATCATCCAACCCCCCCTTTTAACAAAAAATTCCATTCATAATTTAAAATAAAAAAATACACACAAAAACTTGGAATAAACATTTTATTTCAAATTAAAAATAAGCACAAATAGTTTTTCTTGGCACAAAAATTTAATAAAAGTGTAATTTAACATAAGAAATAGAAACAAAACTAATTTAATGTGAAGGATGATGCATTTTTTTCACGAGTTGGAAAATCCTAGGTTTGAAAGATGAAAATGCACAACGCAAATCATTTTCAACATTGTCGATTTCTTTGTTTCATTTTTAATATGACTAAACTTGAAAAGCTTTTTTCACAGAGGTACATCAACAAAAACGGAAGAATAATATGTAGCGATTCTTCTCCAACTTTTGAGTAAATTGGGAAACATTTTATCCAAAATTCCTCCAAGCTTGAGTTTTCAAAATTATCTTTCGCACTTGAATCATATTTCATTTTGAGTGCTTGTTCTTACAATACTTCTAGCAATGAATCAACATCAACGTTGAACTGATTGCGTACTAATTTGAATGGGGTTGTCTGGAAAATAGCGGATGAATTCGTCAGCAAGGCAGTCCAGATTAAACACAATTTTGTTCTTCACATCCTCTTTCCAAATTTCTTGGAAACCTTCATTAGTGTCCAGCTCCACGCATTTCAAATTTTGAAGTTTAGCTGCAAAAAACTCTTTTGTTTTGTCTGTCAAAGCGCCGTAGTTCTTCGTCAAATGTCATTCAAGACTAGGTCTGAAGGCATAATTACTGAGAACCGTGTGGCATACTACGCATTGAGGATGACCAATCCCATTTTTTTCCCATGACAATGAAGCCATACTTAATGCAGTCTTCATCGTACTTCCTTTTCTTAATTGCAGCCATTCATAAACCCTGGGTCAAGTGCTGGGTCAATTTTCTTTAGAAATCCCACACTGGTACCTACTTTGTGTTTTGTAAAATCTGGAGTCAAAGTGTTCTTAAAACAAACATGTGCTGGGTCACCTTCAGTATTCCCTATAATTTTTTCCACACATGTGCAGAATGACTTTATTATATGCACCAATATGGAGATGATCTGTCAAATATCATCTCCATGTTGGTGTTAGGGATGTGAATGGGTAACTGGTCAACCAGTAACTCTGTAAGCATCATCCTTACTTAATAGCCCCTACCCACAGCAGCCACAATAGCCTGCCCACCCCTCTTTAATCAGTTAACCGGTTAAACTTAACATTTAACCAGTTAACTAATTAAATGGGATGTTACATCCCTAATTGGTGCACATAAAATATATGTGGTGGAGTGGACTGAGGAATTTGGACTGTGAGAGAGGACTCAGGGCTGGGACAGAGGGGTGAAGTGTGTGTGGAAGGGTTAGGGCTCTGGCTCAGGATGCAGCCACAGAGGAGAAGCTCAGAGGTGGGGCACAGGAGTAGGCAGACTGCAGGGGGTGAGGGCTCCAAGATGGGGGGGTGCAAGCTCTGGGGCAGTATCAGGAATTACGGGTTTCAGGTATGCCCTGGGGTTACAGTAGGGAGACAGGACTCGCCTCAGGTCCCTCCCTACAAGAGTAGCACCTGGCTGTGCCAGGACTGTGGCTGCAGAGTAGGGTATAGGGATGTTAAAGGTTAACTGACAAACTGGTTATCTAATAAGCATTAGGCTTACTTTCATGTTTGTGCGGCAACTGGTTAGCTAGACCTGTCCAAACCCTCGTGGGGCTGAAGCAGCCCTGTCCCCGACACCGGCTGTAGGCCTTTTCCTGTTGCTATATTGGAAGGCATATAGCCATATTGCAGGGATGGGAAATAATTTTGGAAGGAGGGCCACTTCACAAATTCAGAAGTGGCCATGGACCAACCCGGAAGGGGCGAGGTTAAGAACTAGACTGCTGAGTACAGTGATATGATTTTCTGAACCAGTTGCAGCTAGTAAGAATAGTTTAATTTAAATTATGAAACAGATTAAGCGTTTTAACTTTCTCATGTTAGTTTGTCAAACTTCATTTCAAATAAAGGAAAATAGTATGTCCAACACAAAAGGTTTCAATGTTTTCTTTATTTATGGGAAAAGTGGGGAACCCTTTTTGGGTCTGGGGTCACTGACTCACACCCACAAAATCAGTTGGGGACCACACAAGTGAAGCAAAAAAAACTCTTCCAAAACCTCACAATACTCACTGATGTGGCCCCAGCTGAGATACCTCTCTCCTCTGGTGCCCCAACCCCATGGAGTGAGGGGAAGGGAAGGGGGAAACTGAGGTTCAGGGCTTCCCATAAACCAGATTTACTTTTCTGGGGTTCTAGAGTTAGTGGATTTTATGGACCTCCTTAGGCTCTAGGGACAAAAATGAGGGGTACAGTGCATGAGACAGAGCTACCATCAAGAGCAATAGGGATGGGATGCAGGATCTGGGAAGCATCTGGGGTACAGAAGCAGACTAGGAATAAGGATATTAAATTGCGGTTAACTTACTAGTTGAGTAGTCGATGGGATTTCCATTGACTACTCAATAGGCACTTCTGCATTCCTCCTTTGAAATGTACAAGAGCCCCCACTGCAAATATTTGTAATCAAAATAATAAAGTAACGTTGTATACTTAATATTTTATGTTGTAAGTGAAATCAACATACTTATAAATTTAGAAAAATATCCAAAGGTACTTAAATAAATTTCAATTGGTATTCTATTACTGTTTAACAAGGTGATTAAAACTGCTATTAATCACAATTAATTGTTTCATCAAAATTAATGTTTTAATTAATCGTGTGAGATACATTCAATTAAATGACAGCCCTAATTATTAACTTAGATAAATATTCTCTTGCTATGATGAATTTCATTAACAATTGTATATCACACAATATTCAGGTCTGTTTGAATCCTGTAGTTTTCTTTATCTATGTGGCTGAAAATTGTGCTATCAGCTTTAGAAGTTAAAGAAATTGTTTGCCAATAGAGAAGAACTATACAAAGTCTACAAGATATAAACGACACACTAAACCTTCTGTAAGAAGAATGACAGAAAAATGTTTTGACTTGGTCAGATCAGTCAAGTTGCATTCTAGAACTCAAATATAGTTTAGAGTCTATTTATTTCCTTTAATTATAGACCCAAAATGATTTTGAACACAATTTCCTCATTTTATTGGTGTAGTTTTAGTATACTACAGTGTTCTTTTAAATTTCCTACAGACTTAACAATGAATTGCCCAATTTATTAATATTTGCTTTTGAAAACTTCAGCTTTCTAGCTGGACCTCTGACAATCAAGTCATTGATATGGACTTCTAAGCTGAACTCCAGCTCAAAGAATGTATTGTAGGAATACATATCACTTTTATATAACCTCAAAAATGGGGAAGAAATCTGATTTTTTTTTAATTGATAGTTTCACAGTCCCTCAAGTAGCATTTATCCCAAGTAGAAATCTAGCTTAGACATCGTGTCTAGATAATGTGAATTTATTAAAATTATTCATAAACCCACACAAAACCTCTTCATGTAAATGCTCATTCTATTTTGTTACAACAAAATAACATTATAGTACAATTTACCTTAACAGTTGGCAGCAACTCAGCTTTCCAGGATAAATCAAAACCTTCCCAGCTGTAAAAGTTAAAATACTTTAAAGTACAAAAATACAAAATAAACACATTAATTATGAAAGGAGGTAGGCAGTAATAGTGTATTAATGAACAAGTCTTTTCCTACTTCTATAGAAATGGACAAGATTAAAAACAAGACATAGGTTCAGGTCTACTACATTTAACTGAACACTTCTCCACGTGCTGCACATTAAATTTGAACCTCTGTATTCTGGGTGTACCTCATCTGGGAACACCTGTGGTACAGAGGAAGAAGCGGCTCTGCACACTGCCGCTCCCCTGGCCCCCAGCTGGTGGAATGGCACTGCCCCTGAGGCTTCCCTGCCTGGAAGTGACAAATGATGCAGAGCCATGTGTGCCCCCGGGAGCAGGACACCAGGTAAGCAGCCTGCTCCCACTGACACCCATACCTTGTGGCGCCCTCTCTCATCCCGCCAAATCTATACATCGGCATACCCTATTTTCCAGGGTTGCCTGATTAAAAAGGCTTAAATGTATAATTTTGCAGTCTAAGGCAGTGGTCCCCAATCTTTTGGGGCAGGTGGGGGCCCTGGTCACTAGGTGGGCGCACATAAATGCCCCGGCGGGCGCCACAGCACCCGCAGGCACCATGTTGGGGACCACTGGTCTAAGGTAATTTGCAACTCAAATAGCAGAGATGTTGCAAATCTGATTTCAGACATATTGACATAGTTGTATAGCTATCAATACCGCTACATGCACAAAATTTGGCTGGTATCAGCCTCAGCTTTTAAAAGCATAATGAAAACTATTAATGAACTGAGATCTGAATTGGTACTAAAGTAATGCACAATAAAGAGAAGTGTCCACTGTTCTCACAGCTTAAAGGAACTTGAAAAAAATTATTCTATTCATCATCATATGCAATATCAACTTCTGAAGTGACAATAACTTCATAGTACTAGAAAGGAGAGAAGATGAACATTCAGTTCATCCCTTGCATACAATGGATACAGCCCCATGACAGAGGACATATTCAAGTGCCATTAAACACAAATTAGGAACAAAATAAATTACACTGCCATAAAGGTTAAAGGAGTTATCTTTTTTCTTAAAATACTAGGTCAATAAATATTACTTTGAATTAATTTAAATATTTTACATTGTACCAAATAATTAATTTTAACAGCAGTAATCATTCTTAAATCCCGGTAGTTCTTCCTCCTAATCATGTATTACAGAGCAATTTAATGCCAAAAATCGATCTATGTAACTAGTAAAATAAGTCTTTATACTCACCACATAGATGAACTACTGTTTAAACATCCATAAATCCAGCTATTTGTATCCTGTTAAATCAATACCATGTTAAAATGTGCATTACTACTTCAAAATTTAAGTGTAAGTTTATACATAAAAATTAATGTAACTCCAAAAAACTTAGAGTTAGCGTTGATGAGCCACTTTTAATTTATACCTGCCTAACTATGACACCTCATCACACATCACACACTGTTCTAAACTTCCCGCAATACTTACATACATGAAGATCTATTAAAAAGAGAAGACTATCACACATTTCTGTAGTGGCCCTCACTATAATCACCAAGAGGGATTTTACAAATTCAGCCAAAACACAAAAATGCAATTGTTCATGAAGTACAATTAATTTCCTATTTCTTAATAGGAATCCATAAGATTTGCAATCCATAAGATTTATCATCTCTTGATCCTGTAGAGTACTAATGACTGCCAAGAAGTTGTTGGCTGCCAAGAAGTCTGTGGTATCAAATTCCAAATTATGATTATGAGATGGAAGTACAGGCTGCACCTCTGAAAACTGGCACTCTCTGGTCCAGCAACATCCAAGGGCCAGTAGGACCGTGGATGCTCCTGGACCACTGAGATCACAAGTCTCATGGCAGAGGGCCAGAGTCAGAAAGACTGGCAGCCTGATTGGAGCCCTGCAAAGGGGAGGGCTGGAGCCCTGCAGAAGCCCCCCCCAGCCGGTGCCAAGCAGGGCTGCGCTGGAATACCCAGCAGCCCACAGCAGCAAGGTCAGAGCCCCTCTCAGCCCAGGCTGAGCCCTTTATATTCCTGGCTAACCTCTCAAGAAAATTTCAAAGTTAAATGTTTGGAAGACAACAGATAAGAAGGGGAGATTGATAAGGGTTGTACAAATCCAAAGCATTATTTATATAATTGTAATCAAGCATTCTAGTTTAAGGACTGTTTTTCATAACAGCTACTGAAAAGATGTACTATAGTTAAACTGCAGACAACAGTGTTTTTTGTTAATCATCAATGGTTTTTGTCAAAATTCTATAAGCATTTAATATATTTTAGATATGTGATGAAAAAATCAGCTTAGTTAGAAATTAAGCCTTGTTCCAAAATGCCCTTGCAGCCAAAGTAAAAGGTATGTTCTTACCAGTCCCTCATGGTTTTGTTTATATTTGATTTAAAGAACTTCAGTTGTTAACATCTTATAAAGCAAATTCTATTCTGATGTAAGAATCAGACACAACATGGCTGATGATTAAAACTGGTCAAAAGTCAGAATTTCTGTTCACCAAATGATTCCAAAATTCTGGGGGGAAAATTATGTTCTGTTTTGGAATAAATAGTAGAATTTCTGTAATTTCCCACAGAAGGAAACATCTGGAAAAAAATCATGCAGAAATAGTCAAAACATTTTCAAAAAAATGAAATGAAATCATGCCTAGGAGCCCAAAATCTTCATTAATTTCAAATATCTAAGTAGCAATCATGGCGAGAAATGGATTCTTCAACCTCCAGTTAAGAAAGTACACTCCTTTACAAATAAGGAGGTTAAAGAGATCCACAGTTTGCCTTGAGGTTAAACTATTGCAAATCACCTTGATTGAGGCCGAAAATGGAAGCACAAAATTTCAATTTATAGCACATACCAGCCCATCTCCTCAACAAGAAAAACATCTGAGAAAAACATTGACTGGCAGTGTTTCATAATGTCTACTAGCTCCCTTGGTGAGACCCATTTTGGGATGGCATCAATATTCAGGAAGGTCTCCTAAGCACACGCTTTCTTGAATGGCAGTGGTACTACCCTATTCTGGACATCCCAGCCATTCAGGGATGTAATGCCTGTAAGGGTTAAACCCAGAAACAGTGGGTCCTTGAATCTCCTCAAGAAGACTTCGCAGGGAACCAGGAGAGCCAATGAAAATAGAGTGTGGATTTTTAAACTGAGAAGCAGTTTTTGTGCGATCACAACTGAATTAGAGAGATGAGTTAAGCTAGGAACAAGGCAGAGTTTCCAGCAATATCCATGGCTAGTGGAGGATTAAACTGTGGATCAAATATGTGAGCAGAACAGACAGTTATTTTCTTTATTTTTGGGTTTGTTGGACTCCTCTGTGGTGAGACCAGATACATCCACCCCATACACTGTAACTTTTTAATTGAATCCCAGGAAAGCAATTCTTTGTGTTTTAATCTTGTCTTTTTCAGTTGCTCTGTAACACGTAGCAACCAATTAATGCTTTACCAGCTATGTCTATTTTGTTTTGTTAATAAAACCCTGTCTACCAGAAGGCAGGAGGTTTTGTGTTCATATGCCTAAAACTGCTAGGTCAGCTATTAGGAATTACAATTTGTTTTCAAGCTCTCTCCTGAGGGAGGGTTAAAGAACTTGAAGGTACCCCACAGGAAGAAATTCCTAAGTGTGTCCTCCTGGGTTCTCAAAGGGGTTTTTGCATTTGGGTGGTGGAAGAGTGCCACTCAAGATCACAGAATTTGTGACCTTGGGAATTTTATTTTACACAGAAACTATTAGTGGCGGGGTATTTTAAAGTCACTTGTAGGCTCCCACCTTCTGCAAATGAAGTGCTAGAGTGGGAAGCAGCCTTGACAAAGGCAGAAAATGTATTTCCATCCTTACAGGTTTAAGGCCCAGCTTAACAAAGCACTGGCTGGGATGATTTAGTTGGGATTGGTCCTGGTTTGAGCAGTGGGGTTTGACTAGATGACCTCCTAAGGTCTCTTCTAATCGTAATCTTCTACACTAAGGCAGAAAATGTATTTCCATCCTTACAGGTTTAAGGCCCAGCTTAACAAAGCACTGGCTGGGATGATTTAGTTGGGATTGGTCCTGGTTTGAGCAGTGGGGTTTGACTAGATGACCTCCTAAGGTCTCTTCTAATCGTAATCTTCTACACTACACCCTCAGGACTTGTGCCATCCTGGACCAGGGAGACTGCCGAACAGGGGAGGTGAATGCTTCCCCTGCTGGCTGCTCCGTTGCCAGCTCTTCTCCCTTGGCCTCCCAAGGCTGGGGTTTCCCACTCTGCCATTACTCTGCTAAAGCTGGCTAAGTCAAGGCTCCCTGTAGCCTGCTGCCCACTAGCTGCGCTGGGGGTTCCCTAGGCAGGGCTGCCCGGCCACCCCCCGGCCCAACGCCCCTCG